GCTGAGCCTTGGTCATGGGGTGGTGAGCAGTGTCACTGTGTGTCACTCATTTGTATACTTGTATACATTGCTATTATTATTTACAATGTTATTGTAGTTTAGTTATTAAATTGTTCTTGTCTCAACCCATGAGTGTCTTTTCCCTTCACCCCTTTAATTCTCTCCCCCATCCCTGGGAACGAGGAGGGTGAGCGAGCGGCTGTTGTATTTTGGCTCCCAGCCAGGCTCAAAACTACAACAAAATTCACCCACCTGAGAACGGCCTCCTGCAAAAAACATCTTTTTGATTAATAGTTTTCCTCCCCTGTACCAACACACCCACCCTGCTCATTCCCAACACACAGAACACAGCACACCGTCCAGCCACGGTGCGATTCCTTCCACCCCCAACCCCACCTTGTTCCTTTCAAACCACAACCTGAGGGTTTCATAACACTGCCAACAAACTCTGCCCGGTTAGAGAAGGACGAGCAGGGGAAAGGGGAAGTGAGATGGCCCAGCAACATCATATCATGAATTAGCAGCCGGGGAATGAACCCAGGAGCCTGGGGCCAACAGCTCTCCCCGTCCCCCAACAGCGGGGATGCAGAAAAATGGAGTTTATCCCTGGCTAGCCACACAAGGCTAAAAAAAAAAAAAAATAAAAAAATAAAAAAAATTTAAAAAAAATCATGGCAATGAAGAAGAAATACAGCATTTCTTTTCCCCCACGCTTCCTTTGTGCCATTGCAAAAAGAGAAGCAATAGCTCCTTCCTATGCGTTGGTGGGTAGATAAGTGTTTTCAGATCCTTTGCCACATGCTTTGTTAGAAAAAAATAATATTCCAGTGCAGCTTTTCTGCAGATGACTTGCCTGAGCCATGGATTGTTTCAGCAGCATCACTTTTTCTTGATGTGAAAAAAAATAATATGGGAGTGCCTAAAAGATTTCCATACCTAAGTCTTATTTGCAAAAATCACTTGATTAGACCAGCCTTGGTGGGAGTCAGCAGGTCTCAGTCTTCAGCATTATTTGCTTTTTTTTTCTATTTTTTACCAAATGCTTCTTTTTTAATGCACCCTGGAACACACTACAGAGAGCAGAGATATTACTTTTCTCTGATGAAAAGCAAAATGACTGAGAATCACTCTCCAAATTGCAAATAGATGGGACTTAAAAGTGTATTTTAGCATTATCGTAATTTCCATTTTTCCCCACATAGTTTTTACAGGTGCCTGCATGGGCTGAATGGTGAGACCCAAAGCTTTGCTGCCAGGTTACCCCAAAAATTCTGCAAGAGTAGGCTTGAGGAGAACAAAGCATGTACCAAGAAAATGATTAAAGAAGCGTCCTCGTAGAGTGAAAGAAGAACAGCAAGTTGCAAAAACAAATGAAAACAAAACCCCCACGCTTGCTCAACTCCCAGCAATCACTGTAGGGAGGGCAAGAGGAAACAAGCATGGTCTTGGGCACGTTTTTATTTTTTTGCAGGGCTCTTTTTGCAGGCAGCTGCAGGCAGCACAGGCTGCGGGAGGGAGGGAGCGAGAACATTTGAGGCAATGCATGTGCAGCTTTGAGCATCTCTGGATTTTAGTCCCTGGGCGAGCAGGAGCTGCGGTAAGATGCAAACGACCAAATTGTGTTATTTAAAGAAATTTCTCATCTTGTGCCGAGACCTAAGAGCACGAGCAAACTTGAATGCAGAGAGCACAGTCGTCGTGTGGTTTCCGCAGCACATCACGAGCATCACGCCATGAACTTCGGTGGGGACCAGGTTCCAGTGCAGGAAAGGAGAGGCACGCACACCCCACCAAAGAAATCAGAATTTCCAGGGCTTAAAGCTGAATTAGTCCCCAGATGAGGCTTGAGGCACAGCCCCACTGCCCCAGTAGAGCAAGGCAGAGCTGCAGCTTATCCCCACGAAGGAATTCAGCAGTCGCCATTCACGACCAGCCACTTTTCATGGCATCACAGAATTTGGATTGGAAGGGACCTTAGAGACCATCTAGTTACAACCCCCCTGCCACGGGCAGGACAGTTTCAAAGCTGGAAGATGCAATACCAAAAATGTCTCAGCTATGGGGGGCTTTGGTTAGTTTTTAATTTTGGCCCATCAGTTGGAGCATCTCTCGTTTGGAGCCTTCCTAAAATCTCCCCTTTCCCCTTGGGCTGTCCTGACCACTGCAAAATCACTTGCTTTGGCCAAGAAGTGTTCCCCTTCCCTTTTTGGCTTCAGAGAAGTAATTTAAAAGGAAAAAAATTGCAGGAGGAAGTTTGCACTCTCTCGCAGCACTTAACAGCAAGCCGAAGCCAGAAAAGCAACCCCCTGCACCTTACCTAAATTTAATTTTTTCTGCCCATCTCTCATTCCCCCACTCCCTCCCCAGCCCTCGCAGCTGATGCACAGTCACCGGTCCATGGCGTGGATGCTGCTCGGGGTGGTACCTGCCTTTTCCATGGGCTAAAAGCAGCAGGACCTTAATCTCTCCACTGAGTCACGTCCATCACGCTTCCATCCACCCCAGCTGCCTGCCCTGGGCACGTTTCCTCGGTCACAGGGAGGGGGAAGCACACAGGCTTTGGAAAGGAAAAAAGCCTGACAGCACTAATCGTTGGGGCTCAGCAAGAAATGGAGGTTATTCAGTAAATAATAGAATCGTAAAGAATTGAGTCAAGAATCATCGAATGGTTTGGGTTGGAAGGGACTCTGCAAAAATTTTGTCATTTATTTCCCAGTTGCCGCTACCTGGAAAGAAAGACCACACACCAAGAGGAACTGAGCAGCCACAGAAGCGATGCTCCGCAGCAGACAAGTGGCTATAGAGCGCTTCTCCATTCCCAAAAACACCGTTCAGACTCAAAAGAATAATTTGTGGCTTTCCCCAAACCGTGGCCTTCCCTTTCCTCACTGGGGTGTATTCTGTCTGCATGGGGGCAGGCTGCAAAGCCACAGCTCGCAGGACATGCGAGCAGTTTTATTTCAAAGAGTTTATTTATTTAAACACCTGCAATTTTTTTTTTTTTTTTTGGAAGTCTTCAACACAGGCACGCACACACAGACAAACAGGATACAAACAACTTTGGCATGATACTTATGATACTTTTCAATATTTGTTACAAAACTATTTCTCTTTTTTTAAAAAAAAAATATCCCAAATAAAGGCATTTTAAAGGAGTAAAAATAGAAGTCGAGATCCCAGCCTCTGAAAATAATAAATAGAACGTTCACAGCAAGGTCCTTTTTTCCTTTCTGTTTAAGTCTGCTTAAAAAAAAAAACCCAAACAGAACCCGGGGGGATGCTCAGAACCTCCAGCAAAGTCACCCCAGGACCACAAAGGTGGCTTTGGAGCAA